AAAGTTCTGACGGAGACTTGTTTCCATCTATTGTCGGACTTGGGTTTGAGCGATACGTCAGAAGGAAGATCTGTAGATTTCCTGAGAGTGTTCCTTCTCCTTTTAATTCCGATAGGGTCCTTTAAAACGTGTCAACGAATCTCACTGTTTGTCCATTGGACTGTAGATGATATGGTGGGGAGAGGACGTGTTGGATTCCGTGATTTGAGCAAAATCTTTGGAATCCATCTGAGGTGAATTGTGTTCCGTTGTTGGAAACGAGTGTTTCTGGGAACCCATATCTTGCAAATGCTTTCTGTAAAAGCGCGATAGTGGCGTCCGTAGTGATGCTATTGGTGTTGAAAATCTCCGGTGTGCGAGAAGAAGATCTGAAGAAAGTATTGTTTTTGCTCTATTGAAACTGTCATTGCATTCCTTCGTCCAGTTGAATTTCGCATTCTTCGTCAAGAGAGCGTCGAGAGGGGCACGCAGGCTTCGCATCTCTTTGATGAAAGTACCGTAATAGCTGAGGAGACCTAAGAAAAAACGAAGTTGTGAGACATCTTGAGGGACGGGCATCTTGGTGATGGCTTCGATTTTCTTTGGATCTGGGCGCCGTCCGTGCTTGTCGATGATGTATCCAAGGTAGTTGATTGAGGAATTGCGAACCGGCCTTCTTCCATGCGTACATAGAACCCGCCTTCAGCGATCTTTCTGAAAGCGACGTGCAGGCTCCTTCTCTGCCCCTCTTCTGTGCGTCTCACAACGATGACGTCATCCAGATACGCTATAACTAAGGGCAGCCGGCTAAAGTCGTATCCATAATCTGCTGGAAAATGGCTGGGGCTGATTTGACGAAGAAGGATAGTCTGTTGTATTGGTAAGTTCGCGATGGGTGTTTATGGTTAAAATTGCTTCGATTGCTGATCCAATTCAATTCGGAGATATGCGTCAGCAAAATCGATAAGGGAAAAGTGTTGCGTACTATAACTATAGGTGCGGCCCATTCCGAATAGTTGACCTTAGAGATCACTCCATTTGCTTCGAGTCGATCAAACTCTTTTTCTACGGCTGGAATAGCCGCGTATGGCACCGGTCGTTTTGGGCGGAAAACTGGTTTTGCGTCTTTCTTGAGACGGAGAGTGGCTTGTGAGAATTTGTAGAGTCCAAGATTGCTGCTGAAGACTTCTGGGTTCCATTTGCTTCGAGTCGATCAAGCTCTTTTTCCACGGCTGGAATAGCCGCGTACGGCACCGGTCGTTTTGGGCGGAAAACTGGTTTCACATCCTTCTTCAGACGAAGGGTGGCTTGTGAAAGTTTGTAGAGCCCGAGGTTGCTGTTGAAGACTTCCGGGCAAGTTTCTTGCAGCTCTTTTGCAATATCAGTGCTTGAACAGTTGCTGCTTACATTGACTGCGGCGGAATGTGCAGGATCGACATTTGGAAGCGAATCCATGATGCTGTAGATTCCCAGCTTAGAAATCCATTCTGAGCCTAGAAGGTTGGGTTGGGTGCGGCCAACGTAAAATGTTCCTTGAGCAGACTTCGAATTGAAGCTGTAAGTGCAATCTCGCTGTCCTATGAACTGAATCCGATCTCCTGAAGCGCTGTGAGCGATGGAGACCGCAGCTGTGGTTTGCCCATCGATTTCCATG